CAGGGATATCGATTCGAATCCGAGTATTCGACCCGAATACCGAGTATTCGGCCTTTCGAAGCCGAATCCGAATATTAAAATTTTGAAATCCGAATATCGAATCCGAATATTTTTTTTTTTTGCCGAATACCGAATAATCCAGGGTCCACTGCTAAAAAACCCGAATATTCCGAATATTGGTTTACTGTTTTGTTTCACAATATTTTTCTGTTTTTTTTTAAGATGGCTGATGTAGAAGAGTATGATGATGATGAAAATGATAACACTTTTGAAACTATGTTAAGCGGAACTGTTCACCGATTGAGAGAGTTGTGCAGGAAAATTAAGAAATCCCCCACTTTACGAGACAAGCTAGCAAATAATCAATTGGCTCTTGGGCAAACTATTTTGTCCATAGTGATTGATAATAAGACCCGCTGGAACTCGCTCTATGACTGCATGACAAGGTTTCTTGAGTTGAAACCTATTCTTATTTCTATTTTGCCATCTGAGGATTTAAATGATTTTGACTGGGATAAAGTTGCGTCGATTTGTCGAACACTGAAACCTTTGAAGGAGTGTACATTGGCTCTGCAAAGCAACAAGTCTGATGCTGCGTTAGCTGTGAAAGTTATAAAATTTCTTAATCTTTTGGCACATATGGAACCAGCTCTTAATTCTCCAATTCGCACTGTTTTGGGTAAGTGGATTGATAACAATCCTGTTATCACTGCCCTGATTAATAAATCGGGGAGTTTTTTTGAAACTATTCGAAAGTTCGCTGTTGAACCCGAAAGTGCCACACAGGTGGCGTCTAATGATCATCAATATGTGGCTGTGGAAGAAGGTTTGTCTTTTGCAGAGTTCAATATAAATTGCCAATTAGATGAGTTTGACGTTTTCACTTTTCTGGAAAATTTTCGTCCGTCCAGTGTTGATCCAGAGCGCCTATTTTCTTTATGCCGACTCAGTCGCAACTACTTACAAAATCGATTATCACCTGAGAATCATTCACCAAATGTTTTCTTAAATAAGAATAAAAGGTTTTTGAAATAAAACTGTTCATTAGCAAACTTGTTTTAAAATTATGGTCTCTTTTTTAAAATAGTGTCACTCGATATAGCTCAAAAAACTGGGTTGTCACTGATTTTTAACAGTTTTTAGCGATCTCAGTCGATTTAGCTCGAAAAACTGGGTTGTGAGTTGTGACTGATTTTTAACATTTACTCACTCCCGCGATTTTTACATTATTACGCAAGTCCCCAGCCAATTCTACTTGAAAAATGCTATGTTCAATACTTTTTATAAAATTTGTTGTATCAAACTTTTATGCTAAGTTTTTTGGGAAAATAACCAAATATCCGAATAGTTGTTCGAGTAGTAACATTTGGCCGAAGCCGAATCCGAATAGTAAGGGCACTATTCGGCCGAAGTCGAATATCGAATAGTTGGGCCGCGGCGAATAACGAATATCAAAAAATCCGAGTATTCGACATCCCTGCTCCTTATTCTCGAGTGTGTCGACATTTGAGTTCCAAATTTAGTTTTCTCGAGTGTGTTTTATGATTGTTATGTTGAGACAAGGCGAGTTTTAGGTTGATCCATCTGAAATGGATCAAAGTTCCACTGTCCAATGAAAAGTAACTTAACGGATTGTTCCGACCCTGTTTTAACGGCGTTCCTGTATTTTGGGTATCTCGAGACCTAAGTAAGGGGACGTTCTTATTATCTAGAGTGGGGGGATATTTTGGTGGTAGCCTTTAAGCTGTAACGGGTTCTAGTCTCATGTCGCAAGCGAACCGAATTGGCTTCGACCGTTCTTGAGGTAGAAAAACACAAGAGATAGTGTGTCCCTGACTCCTGGGCCAATGGTTATAGGGCCTATTTTTCTTAAGCCTCATATGTGACCGAAGTAGGCGACTGTTACAGTTTCGTGGTATTTGTATGCATCCTTATGCAGTTTTCGCGATGTTTTGGCATGGGGGTTGAAAGTTTTCACATCAAAGAAAGCGCGGCTGAATCGTGAACCCCACAGTCCGTTTGCCTTAATGACAAGTCGGTCCTCATCTTCAGTTATTCTTGAATTGTTAACACAATGTGTTTCTCAATGATCTTCTTGAGAGTCTCACTGAGGTGGGTATTGGTTTTTCTCCAGCATACATCCAACCTCAGTTATGCTTTCCGTGAAAGCATGCCAGTTGGAAGAGGCATTAAAGACACAATGCACAGTTCCTTGCACAATGTTCTTCTTGTATCTCATCGGTGGAAGAGCTCTAAAAGAGAGAGTCAATCCTGTATCAGTTGGTTTTCTGTACCAAGTCGTGTCAACATCAGCGCCGGACTGTTTCACGCGCATGTCAAGAAATGGAAGACTTCCAATTTCCTGACGTTCAATTGTGAACTCTAGGTTTTGATGAAGTTTATTAACCCTCTCTAAGATTCCAGTGATGTTCTCTGGCTTTGCACTTCGCAGTATGTCATCCACATACCGACTAAACACTCGAGCTTTTCGTGGTTCGTCTACAGTGCATTCGCAGCTCCAACTGGAAGTAGTCATGCGCTTGAGCTCTTCCACGGTGAACGGGGTACATTTACGATGAAACCACTTGCAGCAAACCTTACATCTGATTGAGTAACCGCGGAAAGTAAGTTTTACGCCGAACTTGCCACAACAGTTGTCAGGTTTACTTCCTTGTGTTGATGATTATTGGGTAATTTTGAGGTAGGTGACCGGTAAATAATGCGACAGCTGTTAAGGCGACAACCGTTGTTGATGGGACATTTGACGACAAATTTAGTTTTTGAGAAATCAGCAACGCGAATGATTGCTTAAACAGGCGAAATACATTTAAGAAGTACAACAAGCAAAATGATTGTTTTTTTTATACATTTCTGAGGAATTCCAAACAGAAATTTTAAAAATTAAACCCGCACCAACCGCGCGTTAAAAAACCGAGTTCGACAAAACTTATTTGAAAACGTTGTTTTTGGGTATCTGCAAAGACGTATTTGGATTGATTTGCTAGTATTTGTTGTAATTTTGGATGCTAATACATTTTTGTGTTCTAAATGTCTTGTCGCCTTAATTTACTGTCGCCTTATTTGCCTAGCACCATTGAAGTATACTTACTTATTATACCTTATTATGTGCTTCTATTTTAAAGTCTCTGCAGTTGCTCTGAAATTGACGTTTTTGCGAAGAAAATTATGGTCAAAACCAAATAAAACAGGTTATGACACGATTTTTTAGATTTGTTCTTCTTGATGTTTCGTGAGCCTTCTCTTGACGTGCCTTTTGAAAACGATTTTTCACAAAACCACTTCGCTCGGAGGATAACAAATGTAAACACGGTTGAAAATCAAGATTTGCCAGAAGTCTCTAAATCAGCTTTGCCGGACTCGTTTTTCTCACATTTTCTTCAAACAGATGTAGACCACTCAATACTAGGTTCCGGAGGAAATCTCGTTCCTAATGAATCCAGGGATGCATCCAAAACTTATGGCTCTACAGCTTCCAAGTTATCAGGCTGGATGGATGGAACGGACGGGCTGCGAACCGCCAGTAAGTTTTTTTGTTGATCCTGTAGTTCGTTTGCGCCTTTTCACTTAACTTGAGCCTGGAATAATCCAAATTTTTCAAACTAAATGATTCAAATGTTTTAGATATCCCCAAAGATCGATCTTGGATCGGCGTTAGTTCGGGTGCAACCGGTGATTATCTGATGCAACCATTTGCATCCACATGGACTGAAAACGCGTTCAACGTTTTTGGGTCAGCAATAACAGCCTCAAATGATAGGCTGGATTGTTTTGGTGCTTCAAACTTTGGTGCTAATCTTTTTGATCCCAATTCTACTTCACAATTTTTGGAACCATTCAATGTGTCACCATCTCCGGAAAGCAATCAAAGTTTTGCTGGTGTAGGAGGATTGTGTTCTGAAGTTTGGTCATCTGCTTCGCCTCAATACAGTCGTAATGCCACGCTGTCCCCGCAAGCAGAGTTAGGTTGCTGGAACACTGAAGAACAACCGCTCTCTTTAAATGGGACTCGAATATCTCAACAATTGTATCAAGGGTCTCTCAATCGGGCGGAAGATTTGAATTTCAATAGAAATAACAGAAATATTCCTAGTTTCAATGACCTCATGCAGAGTAAACCAATCGAAAATCACCATTCACAGAGAACACGATGCAAACCTTTTGCAGTGAATAAAAAATTGGAAAACGATAAGTTTGTGACAGATGCCAACCAATTCACTCCAAGGGAGGAATTTGTAGGTAGCTACAGCCTCCCATCGGATATCTATCCGAACGCTAAACAGCAAGCTCCCGTCTTACCAGGAAGCAATTCTTCGAGATGCTATCGATATGATGACACTACTTTTGGGAATCCTGTTAACACCCATGTTAGTCCTGGTCGCTTTCAACAATCACCGAGTAGGTACCCTCAAGGAACTATGAATATAGATGCCATGTATCCAATTGGTGCTTCTTACGATGGTGCTGAAAATTACCAATATAATATTCAAAAACTACAAAACCAAAATTTACAGAAATCAAGGTTGAGCAAGGTAGAAGTTGGCTGCAACTCACCATCTAAAGAGCAGCTGACCAAAACTGTTGAACATAAACCAGCCGATGACTTGTTGCCGGTTAAATCTTACTGCAAGGTGTCTTGTCCAAACTTCTTTATGAGCAGCCCTGATTGTCCAAGGTGCAAGTTCTACAATCTCAGCTCGCCAATAGTGGACAAAGACCAGGTCAGCAAAGGTCAACAAGGAATGGTTCAGCATAAAAAGTTCACGGAGCCTCTGAAATTTCCTCCCAGTAGAAGCGTGTCTTCCACACCTGTTAGTGTTGCTGACTTGCTAGGAAAACAACCCGTTAAAAATTCTGTGAGCCAACAAGGTGCATATAATCATGGTGTCCAAAATGCAGGGTCAGAAGTCGTGACTATTGACGTGAGTCATATAGACATTGACGAACAGCTGAGACTGTTCAGAGAAAAAATGAGACTGCGAAACATGAATGCAAACACACCCAAGAAAAATGAGGTAGAGGAACTGGAAACGTTTCCTATACCTGAAGATGAAAACGTTCCACAAGTAGAGAAAGAGGAAACAGCGCCCGAAAATGCGGAAAAGCTAAATACCGAAACTCCAGAGTCAGAGATTCCTGAAGGCGATGACGTCAGTCAATTTCAGATTGCTAAACCTTCAAAGCCTATAACTAGATACAGTAGAGCACAACTGATGGAAATGGGGGACAGCGAATTGTGCAAAATTTTGCCACAAGTGAGCGAAGATTATAAAGAATGGCTGCAAAACGTGTTGATCGCCAAAGCCGCAAAAGAAGCGGAGGCGAAAGAAGAAGATGAAAGGGTGGAAATTCAGCTTCAGCCGTCCCCAAAAGCAGAAAAAGAAGAAGTATGTGAGGAAAAGAAGTCGGCGGCAGTGGCGTCGAACTCAGCGGAAGACATGGCAGCTCATTCGATCTGCAAACGACCCTTTGCAACAACAGTAACTCAGAAAAGAGTTTGCATGCACCCGATGTTCCAAAGAGCTCTGAAACAATCGGTTGCGGACAAGTCGAATCAGAAAGAGAAAAGTGAAAAATGATCCACAAATGCATTGGTAGAACAGCGAAATAATGAAATTAAGCTTCTACTTTCATTGATGTTTTAATTATAGAACTAGCGAGCGAAATGAAAAGCGAAGATGGTTGAAGGGAATTCGTCAGCGATGTAAAGGCAAAATCGAAGATGGTCTCAATTTAAAATGATATTAGTCAATTGTAATTTTGATTCAAACTTTTTTTCTGATCAACCTGACCTGTTTGCAAATTTAAAACAAAGAAGACCTATTAGCAAGATAAATTAAAGGAGTTATCCGAATAAGAGTAGTATGTTAGCCTCTGTGTAAATCTTGGAAATTAAAAGTTTTTAACAGTTTCAAATGTTATTCCACTGATTGAAAAATTACATCAATAGCGATCTTTTTCTTAATTTTGCAATTGCAGGTCATTGTGCTGTAACAAGGTTGATTTAAATGGCTCTCTTTCTATTGGTTTTTGTTCTATATGTAGTTCAGTTGTGTACAATTTAATGTTCCGATCACCCTTTAGTGATTGAAAGGAACTATGGCCTAAATCAGGTACCATAAAAAATCGTCAATTGAGGCCAAGTGATATCTCACATTAAAGCTCTTTCAGATTCGACAAAAGACTTCCAAAAAGTTGTATTGGCATTAAATATTTCTGGTTCAAATTTATTTTCGCAGGGGACTGGGTATGTGTTCCATTAAAACACCCACTTGCAGTTTGTTTTTTTTTTGGGAGGGGGGTTCAAACCCCCTCCCAAAAAAGTAGGTACCCACTTTTCTGGGAGGGGGTTTCAAACCAACCCCCTCCCTTGAACCCCCTTTTTTTTGGGGGGGGGGGGGGGGAGGGGGTTCAAGCCACTATTTACAATAGTGGCTTCGAATTTAGAGCTTCACTTCCCTATTACTAACCAAGAAAAGAGCACAAAATTTAGATGAAAAATTGAAAATATATTTATTTTTTGAAGAAAAAATGATCATTTGTTACATTAATTGATCGGAACATTATGTGTTTCTTGTAAAGCCACCGGCTATTCTTTTTTCAGATTTTTTTACAGAGATACATTTGAGAGCCATTTAAATTTCGGTTGTTTGCTTTGTTTTTGAGTACTAAGTAGTTAATTTTCCAAGTAAATTTTAAATCTATTCAAAGAATAACATTATATAACCTATGTACGAAACCAATTATCGAACAAAAATATCTGCTTTATCAATTAGAATTTTGATTCATTTGCCATTTGCTGTGATTTGTTCCATTCGATACAGTTGAAATAGTTTATGTAGTACGTTTCAAATTTCATTTTCAAATTTTGATATAAAAAAAAAGATTTCTTTCGAAAAGTTTTTTTGTTTCTTGGGGACAAAATAAGTGGCAGCAATTTTCTAATAAATGGTATTTTTGCAAATGCTACTTTTTGCAAGCAAAAAGTTTGTCCGCGTAATGTGTATAATTTAATTGGACGATTTCCTAATTGGAAAAAGAAACTTTCGTTACAACGTCATGTGGGGAGGGCTCTGTATTTTGAACCAGAGGTAAAGAGATATGTATTTACAATCGGAGCTATTTCCGCGCGTAATTGAATATAGACAAGAGTTCCCACAAAAGCAACATAAACGTTGGTCAAAAGCCTCAAGACATTTTGATTGGATATGTTTTTATTCCCTTCATGAATAAATGGCACAAAGTTTGTTTAATGGTCAAGTTATGAGATAAGTGACTAATTGTTTATCTTCTTACTTTCCAGTTTATCCGAATGCTGACAGGCAACAGGGAAATGAACAATTTGGTGGAGGACTTGCTTTACAAGTGTGGCAAGTCTCAGAACTCACCGCTCTCAACGCCCACGGGCGAGTGCCCATGGCAAGTTTTCGAATCAATCTTTGAAGCTGTAGAGAAAGTACTCGAGAAACAGAGATCTACACAAAAGTATGCTGCAAGTTCGGAGACTTTCAGTTTCGAAAAATTTATGAGCGAAGAGCGAAAAATAGACGAATTTAAACAATGGATGGTCCAGGCGTCCAATAACAACTGTGGGTTGAATAAATATATTGACTTAGAGTTGAATACAGAGAAGTCAGTAGGACTTGTGACTTGTTCTGAAATACAACAGGATGAGAAAGTTTTGACAATTCCGAGAAAGTGTTTGATAGTCGACGAATGCAACGAGACGCCTGAATTAGAAAGTTCGAGCGATGAAACAAAAAACATTTTGAAAAGTTTGTTTAGTTCGAGCAAAAACTTGTTTACTGAAGTTCCCTCTTTGCGATTAACGATGGTGCTCCTATTCGAATTGTTCGAAAATGGTTCTAAGTCGAATTGGTTTCATTATATAAATGTTTTACCAAGAAACTACTCTATGCTGCTGTACTTTAGCAAGTCTACATTCAAAAGTCTTCACGCTGGAAGTGCATGCGGAGAATTAGTGCTGAGCTTGTTCAGAAATATATCACGACAGTATTGTCTGATTTTCAAAAATTTAGAAAAATTAGCACCCCAATCAAACCTGGCAAATAGTTTTTCATTCGAAGCTTTCCGTTGGGCTGTTTGCACTGTAATGTCCCGACAGAATAAACTTCCCTTGAAAAAGTTCTCCAACGGCGTTGCGAGGGAACAAGACGAACTAGCTTTGATCCCGTTGTGGGATTTAGCCAATCACAAGCAGTCCCACATGACTACATTTTACAATTCGGAAACGGATTGTGTCGAATGTTTGGCTACTGAAAAGTTAGAATTAGGAGCCAATTTTGAAATCCATTATGGAAACAGAACAAATTCCAGCTTCATGATTTATCAAGGTTTCGTTCCAGATAATAACATTCACAACCAAGTTAGTATCACTCTAGGAATCAGTTCCAGTGATGTTTTGTGCCGCACGAAAAGCCAGATTTTACTGGATCATCAGATACCATCCTGTGGAAAATTCAGTCTCTACACAGCTTACCATGAAATTCCATTCACTAGAGATCTGCTTATATTTCTGCGTGTTTTCAATCTAGACAAGGACGACCTTGGTCTTGTGATGATTCAGAAAGAGTTGGCTGGAAAAAGATTGTTGGGAAATTTGATGTGGGCTGTTTCGCAGTCGCACGAGGCCAAAACGTGGAAGTTTTTATCAACAAGGTGCTTACTGCTTCAGATGAAAGCGAAAAAGTCAGTGTCTCAAACTCAGTCGACTGTAGAAGACGAAAGCGTTTCAGACACTGCTAAAAGAGAGGCCAACTTAGTTTTGAAGCTGTTGCAATCAGAATTAGAGGTGTTCGAAAATGTGCAGAAATTCGCAGAGCGGATGTTAAAAACTGTGCAATCAGAGCCAGCTGCTTTCACTTTTTTGGACTCATAGTTATATGATTTCAAAGTTGAACCAAAGCATCTGTACTTAGTGTCTAACCATAAAGCGTTAAGTTCTTCAATCAGTCAGAACACTGTACAATTTTCCATTTTCTGAAAATTGCTCGCTGTTTGAATTCCATGTGCATTTTCTTTTCTTTTGCTAGTTCTTGCATTTAAATGTGAAGTCAGATTTATTTGGCAAAATGAAATATTAAAAAAAGGGATTTTAGTGCTCAGAAGATCAGAAACATTGTAGGTCAGTTTTTTTGAAAAATTTGCCCGCGAAGCAGAAAATTTTATAAAATAAGGTTTTATGATCCTTTAGGGAGAGCTCAAGAAATTGACAAAGCGGCATTATTGTTGTTGGAAATCCAACCCACCGCTAGAAAATCCCTGATCTGCGCCTCCTGAAATCAGTTTTTCAGTAAATTTCATATATTTTACTTTTCATTTAAAGTGCAAAATCTAAAACTAGCTTGCCTTACATTTGTGCATTAATATTTGCATGTGATTGGTTCTTTAATTTATCATCTTGTTCAAGTTGTCGCTGTCAAAAAATTTAGTTTATAATTTATTTTTTATTTACTGAAATCAATGTAAATTAAATTTGTCTAAATAACCCTATCGATTAATTGAAATTATTGCATCATTTTTTTTTTCATTCGCCGAAATCTGCAGTTTTTGCGTGTATAAGTAGCACTGAAAATTCTGACCACAATGATTTAAGAAAAGAAACTCAAACAGAAAAGTTGAAATAGCGAAAAAAAAATTGAAATTTTGAAATACCGATTTTTTTAATTTTGTTTTTACCCCAAACATCCGGTTATTTGGTTCCAAAAAGGGCTTCTGAATAAGGCGAAGAGCTGCAAGAATGAGAGGTAACACTAGCTAAAATAACGTTTAAATTGTGGTAAGGAATGTCAGCCTCACAATGTTCGTCAAATTTGAACTGAAAACCAAAAAAGCAAAAACAAGACTAGTTTTTCAAGAAACAGAAAACTTGGCGTAATTTTTTAAGCTGCAAACTTTTTGTGTATCTCGAAAGAAACAGTCTGAATCTCTTTATGTGAAATGAGTTTTATTGTAATTTTCATTGTAGTCGTCGTGGAATATGTGTTTTTCTTTGTAAATCGCATTTTCCTTTAAAGTTGTGTAGACCAGCTCGTCGGAGTTTCGCCAACTTATGTAATCTTAGCGTTCATTTGAGTCACTCTTCATCTGAATATGCTCTAAATTTTGTGTTCTTAAGCTAGAGGAAAGTTAGATAATTTTATAAAGCTAGAGTAAAGTTCAAACTGTGCAAACTCGATAAATGTTGCAAAGGCATCGTTTTTCTTATTGCTCTGCAAATCGGTTTTAATGGAATTCTGTGGATGACTTTTCTTAACTTTTTTTTTCACAATAAAATAATGAATTTTGCATGGTTTTGGGCTAGTGATTGCTTACCCATTAAACAAGTTAACTATTATGAAATTTGTTATTACACAACAATGTTTGTGTTATAGTATAAACTATCTTTTTTGCCAACCTAAGTCGCAAGTATTTTTGCGATGCAAATACTGTTGCGATAAAATGTGTTCATTTTGAAAGTGTTCATTTTGATCAATAACCAGCTATTAAGTACAGCCAATGCTAAGGATTTTAACAAAGACTATTACCGTTCCGACTTTCCTAACGAAAGTAACGGAATATTTGTGATCGGGGTAGTTTTTTCTCAGACAAATTTCGACTTTTTAACTAGCTATCTTCCACGGGATTTTTTAATATTATTTTTTTATCTTTTTTTTTATATATATGAAGGTATTGTTGTCTTGAGCCTAAATTTGGAAAGATATTTCACCTGTGATCTTTTTTAGTAAAGTTATGGGGGTTTAAAAATTGCCATTTGGGACAATTAACGCGAAATTTATCACTTTGTGCTTAATATGGAGTGTGGGGGATGCTTTTCACAAAAAAATCTCAAAATAAAAAAAAATCATTTCATTTTTATAACATTAAATTTTTTCATGTTATTACTGCTCCATACACTGCTCTATAAATTGAGGCATATTAATTGGTAATTTTTTTTTTTTTTTCAAATTGATTGGTACTTCATGCGTCATAATTGGCGTGTGTCACTTAAGAAATTTTGTAGACTCAAAGTTTTACTCATTCAGTGTTTCCCAGTAGCGTTATCGGTCTTATTTTTGCTTGTGTATGCGAAGTGCAACTTCGCCTCTGTGTCAAACTTTTGTCCGATTCCTTCTCTGTCGACTATTTTGTTGGCTGAATTCCTTTTATCGGCTTAACAACTTCCGGCGTTATAATAACTTTTTATTGGCCTACTTACATCTGGCTTTAGTTTGTAAACACTTAGAAGCTAAATTTGTACAGTAAAGAGCATAAATTCATACTGTTTTCTGAAGCCTGAATTACATGTAATTGATAAACGCTCTATTTTAATTTTTATTTTAATGCTTATCATGTAAAAAACATATTTTGTCAATTTATTTATATCTGAGAAATGCAGATAAAAAACAATAGCCGTTTGCTGTGCAAGTAGTACATTGCTCAGGATATTTATAAATAACTACAAAAAAATGTTTCGTTTTTTTTCTTCAGATTGAAGTCGATTTTTGTACGCGGTGTGACGAGACAACTAAACAAGCGTCTAGAAAAGTAGTGAATTTGGCATGTTATTTGCCCAAAAAATGAATAACAACAAAAGAGTGAGAAAAAAAAACAATTTGAACATATTTGTGGGATTATTTTGTCTAGGTAGCGCAAAATTTTTGCATGAGAAGAGGTGGTGGAAGTCCCTAGATATGGTTTTAGAAAAATTAAGGTTGCTCAGCCGAAACATAGACTGCGGTTTCTGCAAAAATAAAAACGTGGGTATTTTTATCCGCTTTGAAATCATTATTTCAATGACTTGAACTGAAAATTATATAACTCGTTGTGATTAGCTGAAACTAACTGATAGACAAATTGATGAAGCAATTAGCGCGAGTGAAGATTTCAACAAAAAATCCCTTCAAAAGAATTTATTGACTAAGTGAAGCCGAAAAGTTCTTTGAAATGATCATATGGCAAACGTCATATTCAGTCGTTTCGGCTAATGTGCATAATTGCTGAAAAGATTCGCAAAATAGTTATAATAATGATACCTTATGTGTTTCAAAATGTGGATATAATAAATTTTGGGTGGATAATTTAAAAGACCCTACAATTTGAATTTGCAACCGCAGTACCACAATATTGTTCAAATAAATAAATTAGTGAGTTTGATTAAATTCAAGATCTTAAATTCAAGAAGAAAGAACAATAAATTGGTCTGCTGATTCGCCAATAGGTGAGTGGGGATAACTTTTTTTGAGGCAGAGACGGCTCTTTCTGAGAAATCAGTTACAGTATAGTCACAAATATACGCGCTATGAGTTAACTCAAACGAATAATGATACGACCCATTCAAGAAGTGGTAACGCACGATAGCTTGAAGTGTTTTTTTTTTCGTAAAACACTAACGCAGGATGTTTATCGCGTAGGTTGTGATTGTGACTACTTCCGCATATCGTCTTCGGGATCCGACCAAGAGAATACTGACTAGACGCTCCATTTGAAATTTGAAGCGCCACTCAGTACTCTCGAATCCCGCTCTCAGAGACTCGCACAGCCAGAAATTCTCCATGCTCCCCACATCAACACACACATATTCAAATATGACCTCATTTTTCTCAATTGCAACCTCAATGTAATGCAGCCTAAAATTCGCTGCAGTGGTGGCCGGGTAAACTCTACGGTCACACCAAAGATATTTTTGCCTTCGTGAGTTCCAGGTCCCACATAAGGCAAATCAATGGGTGACTCGTGGAGACCACCAAGGGGAATATCCATCTAAACACATGAAAATAGGTTGAAATCATTAGTTAGAAATCCTTTAAACTACAGTTCATTAATAAAGTCCCATTAACATCCATTTATAACGATTATAATCAGTCAAACATTTAATGTGAAAATGTCTTCTAAAGAAGATAAAGACATGTTGATGAAAAACAAACTCAGCAAAATGAGTTTATTAGGAAATTGGCATACTGAAGATATTGATAGTGAACGATTAAAATTCTCTGTTTTTTCAACTGGTTCTTGGTCAAAAAATATGCACATTCACAATCGTCATATAGTGTTTATTTCTCGGTGGAAAGAAATGGCAAATCATACTTTCAAGGAATACGAGCAAAGTTGTAACGAACAATTTTATTTGAGCGATTTGTTGCAAATAACCTGGTGCATTTTTGGGAAGCAGAAATATGGAAAAGCGACCGATCTATCGATTGTTACTTATGAAAATGTTTTTGATTACTCGTATGATTTTGAGTCAATTCTGATTGAGAAAGGAGTGGAAAGAAAAATTCGACTTTGTTTCAATAAACTTTCGAAATACCGAAAACTACCCGTGATTTACTTAAACATATATCAAAGAGATATAGGAGTGAGTAAGTGGTATCTAGAAGGTTACTTTCATTTCCACTGGCTTGAAATTCAGCAGGTCGGAGAAGTGCTGGAAGAAAATAAAATTTGAAATTGGAAAAACGTAGAGTTACTTCAAAAGACTTGGAAATTATTCATGAAATTTTTATTACTTTGAAAAAAACCTATCCGGAAAATACCAACCGTCGAAATTTTTTCTTAGCTGCATGTTCACTGTTCTTCTTCTCAACTACTAATGATATAAATTACGATGTTGCTATCAAGTTGAGACCCTATGGGGGTCTGATCGGTATAGACAATTCTGCTTTGGATAAATATTTAATTGATTCGAAAATTTTACGAATGCATGCTATTTTACACGATGCCGCCGGTTTTTTCCGCAAAGTGTATAACACTGGTCCCACATACTGCCATTTTTAACCATGGAAATGCAACAGTAGTCTGATTGGTCACTTGAGTGGAATTACGTTTTGTTTGTATATCAAAATGAAGAAACCGAAACTCTACCATTTATTAGAATGCTGAAGGAAAGATCAGTTGTGTTGGATTTTGAGGGATTTCGACACCAGAAAAACACATTTATAGTAAAAGAATTAGCTTTAACCACTTCCGACTACAGTGATTCCCTAAATTTTCTACCTCCAGTTAGTTTCAATTCCCTTCCAAAATCTGAACAAAAAGCCTACAACTGGCTGACAAATTATTTGCACGGATTTCATTGGGACATCGGTGATTATTTATACCTGAATTTGAACCGAATCATTCAAAGTTTTGTCTTAAGAAACCCCAATGCTATATTCTACGCCAACGTAAAAGAAAAAGCTGATTTTTTATCCAAATACTTAGACCGCAAAGTTGTGAATCTTGACGATTTGGGCTGTCCACGAGTCGAATAATTATATTTCAAGAATTTTGTGAGTTGTAACAAACACCTACCGCACCATAACTCTAAACATCATTGTGCATTAAAAAAGCCGAAAGCTTTCTATGATTGGTTGAAAAATGAGTGTCAACAACGAGCGTCAGGGGAAAGTGGAGACATACATATCTCCAAATTCAGTTCTTTGTGCTTGGATGGCACCAGAAAGTAACATAAATA